CACTCACCACCACCACTCACCAACACTCACCAACACTCACCACCACTCACCAACACTCACCACCAACACTCACCAACACTCACCAACACTCACCACTCACCAACACTCACCACCAACACTCACCAACACTCACCACTCACCACCACTCACCACCATCACTCACCAACACTCACCAACACTCACCACTCACCACCACTCACCACCATCACTCACCACTAACCACCACCACTCACCACCACTCACCAACACTCACCAACACTCACCACCACTCACCAACACTCACCACCTCTCACCACCACCACTACTCACCGCCACTCACCACCACTCACCACCATCACTCACCAACACTCACCAACACTCACCACTCACCACCACTCACCACCATCACTCACCACTAACCACCACCACTCACCACCACTCACCAACACTCACCAACACTCACCACCACTCACCAACACTCACCACCTCTCACCACCACCACTACTCACCGCCACTCACCAACACTCACCACCACCACTCACCACCACCACCACTCACCACCACCACTCACCACCACCACCCACTCACCACCACCACCCACCACCACCACCACCCACCACCACCACCACCCACTCACCACCACCACCACCACCCACCACCACCCACTCACCACCACCACTCACCACCACCACTCACCACCACCACTCACCACTCACCAACACCACTCACCACCACCACCACTCACCACCACCACCACTCACCACCACCACCACCCACTCACCACCACCCACTCACCACCACCCACCACCACCCACTCACCACCACCACTCACCACCACCACTCACCATCACCACCACCACTCACCACTCACCAACACCACTCACCACCACCACCACTCACCACCACTACCACTCACCACCACCACCACTCACCACCATCACCACCCACTCACCACCCCCACCCACTCACCACCACCACCACCCACTCACCACCACCACCCACTCACCACCACCACCCACTCACCACCACCACCCACCACCACCACCCACCACCACCACCCACTCACCACCACCCACTCACCACCACCACCACTCACCACCACTCACCACCATCACCACTCACCACCACCACTCACCACCACCACTCACCATCACCACGTGCTGTCCCTGCTGGAGCCTGCCGCCCTGGTGAGCAGCCACAACTTCCTCCTCGTGATGGTGGTGACGGTGACGGTGGTGACGGTGATGGTGGTGACGGTGACGGTGGTGACGGTGATGGTGGTGACGGTGACGGTGGTGACGGTGATGGTGGTGACGGTGATGGTGGTGACGGTGACGGTGGTGGTGGTGACGGTGATGGTGGTGACGGTGACGGTGGTGACGGTGATGGTGGTGACGGTGACGGTGGTGGTGGTGACGGTGATGGTGGTGACGGTGACGGTGGTGACGGTGGTGACGGTGGTGACGGTGGTGACGGTGACGGTGGTGGCGATGATGGTGGTGACGGTGACGGTGGTGGTGGTGACGGTGATGGTGGCGACGGTGGTGATGGTGGTGACGGTGACGGTGGTGACGGTGACGGTGGTGACGGTGACGGTGGTGGTGGTGACGGTGATGGTGGCGACGGTGGTGATGGTGGTGACGGTGACGGTGGTGACGGTGACGGTGGTGACGGTGACGGTGGTGGTGGTGACGGTGATGGTGGCGACGGTGGTGATGGTGGTGACGGTGGTGACGGTGGTAACGGTGACGGTGGTGACGGTGATGGTGGTGATGGTGGTGACGGTGACGGTGGTGACGGTGACGGTGGTGACGGTCACGGTGGTGACAGTGGTGACGGCGATGGTGGTGACGGTGATGGTGGTGACGGTGACGGTGGTGACGGTGATGGTGGTGACGGTGATGGTGTGGTGACGATACGGTGATGGTGGTGACGATGCGGTGATGGTGGTGACGGTGATGGTGGTGACGGTGGTGACGGTGGTGACGGTGGTGGTGGTGACGGTGGTGACGGTGATGGTGGTGACGGTGATGGTGGTGACAGTGACGGTGGTGACGGTGATGGTGCGGTGACGGTGCGTTGACGGTGATGGTGCGGTGACGGTGACGGTGGTGGTGGTGATGGTGCGGTGACGGTGCGTTGACGGTGACGGTGATGGTGCGGTGACGGTGCGTTGACGATGACGGTGATGATGCGGTGATGGTGCGGTGTGTGAGATCAGCTGTTCCACCTGTGCGTGGAGGCGGCTCAACACTCCAAAGACCCCAAGAAGCTCATGTCAGAGATTTACTTCACTTTTCTGGAGCGCAACGCGGTCAGTACCATCACCACCATCACACACATCACCACA